ATGTTAGGGCTAGCTTGTAAAATAATTAATATATTATCTCACTAAAATATAAATACTAATAAAACTTTAATTTCAGTATATAAATTTATCCCTTGATATAAAAAAAAAGTAACAGTTTTATTTATTCTTGTTCATCATATAATATTTAATTATTATTTTATTATATAATATAAAAGAATAGTGTTAAATAGTTTTTTTTAACACAAAGATAATATTAAAAAAATATAAATATCTATACAAATGTTAGAGCCAAGTTTTTTTAATAGTTTTTTATAAGTTTTATAAAAGTATATTATAATTTGTTAGTGTATTTCAAAATCGTAATATTGATTTGTAGTTTTTAGAAACAAAATTTTGATTGTTTTTGCTCACCCAATTTTATGGGATTTTTTTATGTCAAGATAAGAAGGATTAAAAACAATATGTAAAATAGGAAACTTGATTAAAATTATAAATGCATTAATTACTACTTGATAAAATTAGAAGTTCATTATTTAAAGTTGACTTTTCTACCTACTATATTTAGTAAATAGATTTCCTTTTAATATAAGTATAGATTTATTAATTTATATGTATGGTAATAATCTATATAAATAATATGTTGAATAAAAAAATATATAGTATCAAATATATAAAAAACAATATATGAATATATTATAAAAAAATGCTGCAATTACATAATAAATGTACATAGAGGTGTACATAACAATCACATGGAGTAGAGTCCACTTGATTTTTTTTTTATTTTTTTATTTTTGGTGGGTTCCACCACTGTGAGTGTTATGTACACCCTTATGTACAATATTATTTACTTATAGCATTACTCTATATTATATATTATACAATGTAACACAGAGTTGACTAATTAAATTTAGGACTATTTAGTATGAGGTTTCTTTAACCACAATAAAACCTTGACAATATGGGATGAGATATGGAAATGACAATTGTATTGTGATTTTAATTATTTATATAAAATAGTGATAGATTTAAGTTTGGTTAAATTATGGGCACCCATCTCAATTAAGTAAAAATGTGCATATGATTGCATAGATTCAATAAAATCATGACATGTGCGGCAATATATGATAAATCCGATAGTTACATTAAATATTTTTGTATATGATATTAACCATACTTATCTAGATTCTAAATTTTAAGGGGAGTATTATTACTGACCGACTTTCTGTTAAATAAGAAACGTAACAAATTCTATATTTTAGGACAACATTTCGAGTTTCTAAAAAAACAAATAAAAGTTACTATAAATGACATGTAATAAATGTTCATGGGAGTTTGACTAAGATTTGGCTTACTATTTTTTTTTTTTAAAAAAAAGGTAATTCTTATTATATATATATATATTTGTGTTTTTATAATAATTGCTACTCATTTAAGATTTTGTTTTATATCAAACCTTAGATATATAATTTGTCAAAATGTCATAAAAAAATATAACTTGTCAATATAAAATTAGGGGTAAATTGCACCAAACCTCCCTGTGTTTAACGAAATGTGCGCGTTTCTACCCTGTGTTTTAAAAAATGAATCAGACCCCCTTATATTTAAGTTATAGTTGCACGATTCCCCCATTCCGTCTAACTTACCGGCGCGTGTAAAGCACCTTCTCCAGCTGCGAAAATTGTTCAATTTTTTATTTTGCAAAATTAGTAATTTACATTTATACCCTTCTTGAATTTATTGCAAAAACCAAAATTATATTGAGTCCAGGAAGTCAGAATCAAACCTAGGTCTCTTGGATAGAAAGCACCACCACAACCACTGGGCTACCTTAATTGTTGTGTAGACTATTGAACAATATATTTATACTTACGAATCGGAAATGAATTAAATACTCCAAAAATAGAGTAAATAAAATATAATAGTATAATAGGTAAATTTAATATAAAATAATAATAATAATAATAATAACTTGCAATTATGAAATTAATATAAAAATAATGAATAAAAAATAAATTTAAATAAAGGAAGATAAAATATGATATAGTAGCGTGATTACAATTAAATAAATTTACATTTTAATTATTAAAATAAATTAATTATATAAAATTAATTAATAATAATATAAAATAAATTAAAAAATAAATAAAATAAAAATAGAAAATTTTAAATAAAATAAAAATAATAATTATATAAGATAATAAAGTAATGATAAATAAAATAAATAATAAATCAAAATAACTTATTATGAAGTAATAAATAAAAATATTAAAGTAATATAATAACATAAAAATATCATTTATCAAATAATTTTCTTATGATTTACTCTTTCATACCATATGAATGCAAAAATCAAATAATTATAATATTTTAATAAATGATTTTAATTGTAAATAAGTAATTTTAATTTATAAATTTTATTTGGTAAAATTAAGAAATAATATAGAATAATAAAAATTAATGCGACAAAATAATATAGAATAATATAAATTAAAATAAATAATAAAATTTTAAAAATAAAAAATAATATCAAATAAATACAATAAATAATATTATTTAACTATAATTTTTTATGTTTATTTAATTTATTTTAATTATTTTGTTTTCATTTAATATAATAATTTATTTAAATTATTATTCATCTAATTTTATATAATTTATTTTATTATATTTTAATTTATCATAAGTTTATATTTAATAATTTAATTTAATATAATTTAAATAATCTTTCCAATTTTTTCATTCATCCAGAATAATGGTTATATATATTAAACATTCCAATTTCTAGCACTCAACCTTGAGTGGTGTGGTGGTTGTATGCCACTCCATGCTTCCATGAGGGCTCAAGTTCGAACCCTAGGAAGAGCATATTTTTTTTAAATTGAATTTATCGCGCGATATATTCAATATATCGCGATAAATTTAATTTATCAAAAATATATATATAATATTGAGAGGATATAATGAAAATTTTGTAGAAAAATTAACACCGTTACCGGTGTAACAGAAAAGAGGGAGCAGCGTGCACCGACCCCTTAAATATAAGGAGGTTTGGTGCATTTTTTAAAACATGAGATAAAAACGCGCACATTTAGCAAAACACAGAGTTTGGTGCAATTTAACCATAAAATTAGTGCACATTATGTATGCATAGTACTTACAATCATTCAATATAAAACTTCACAAAATAAAAAAAAAAGGAAAAATAAAAAACAACTCAAAATTTAAGTAAAAAATTCCTAACTCGTAAAGAAAAATATGCCTGTTTGTTTCTATCGTTGTAGTGTGTATGTACATCGCAATAAAACTTCACATAATTCTCACCTTTACCTCTTCGTTCCCTCCTCCTCCATTTTGTTCTGTAGATATCGGCTTTATATAGAAAATAAATTTGCAGTGATAATTTTTGAACTGTATGCTTCTTCTTTCGGCTGTTCAGATTAGATCTGTTGGCTTTTTTCCCCTTTCCCTGAGACTTCACAGGTCAGTATTTATTTCATAAATAGATTTTTTTTTGCCTGATGTTTTCTTCTCCGGCTCCTGTTTTCTACGTGAAGTTGTTGTGTTTTGCAGAGGGGATGAAGCGTTTGCGGGACGATGTGTATGTGAACCCTCAAT